GCTCAGAGCTCCACCATGCCCAGCTGTGGGCAGGGACTGTGGCAGGGAAGATGACCAGCTCCTTCCTGGAGGTGCCCCCATGGACAGGGCAGCAGGACAGGAGGTGGGTGGCACCCAGAGAGCTGGGTCTTCTGAGAGCCTGATGAAGCCTTGCAGGTATACAGGGATGACCTGGGTGATGGTGATGTGGCTCCGAGGTGGCCTCTTGGCCTGTAGCCGGAGGTTCTGCTTGTAAAGGGCCTGACAGTCCAACAAACCAGAAACATGCTCCCAAGTTGAGAGCTGCTGGGGACCAGATGACAGAGACCAAGATAGGAAACGATAAACAATGGTCCTCATTGCATTGAGGGGGCACCTCCAGAGACAGCAGCTGCACCCCCTGCCCCCAGCAGCCTGGCAGCTGCCTCAGAATCACAACCCTTAAGCAGGCCGGCCAGCTCGCCCCTCCCAGCCACCCCACTGCTGCCTCCAGGCTACTCCTGGGCACCTCAATCTGCAGGAGCCACTGACTCTGGAAGCCCCCATCAGGCTGACTGTGCACTCCATGGGTTTCCACAGCAAGATGGACTCTACCCAGCCTTATTTCACTGGCTGACTTTGTTTATCCCCCATGTCTACTGGATGTGTGCCCCAGGAGGGCAGGGGTGCTGTCCCCCTCCATCTTGGCCAGGCCCTGATGATCCACCTATCCCGGGGCCAACCCAGGGCACGGTGGCTTCCTGGAGGAGGGAGGTGGCTGGGATAGCTTTGTGGGGTCCCTGAGGAGGCCCTGACACAGGGGTCCAGGGCGGGAAAGACAGACATCCTCGGACTAACGCCCACCCACCGCGATTCCCGGCTAAAACCTGGAGACAGCACAAGCTCCAGGGCGTCCGGGCTGGCGTCACCGCCTCTGTAGCCAATGGGCTCTGACGTGGCGGGCCCGGAACGCCACTGGGACTGTGCGGGGCGTCCACACCACCCACTGAGCGCGGCCACTGCGTAGGCAGCATGAGCGCTCCCGAGCTTGCGCCCGCAGAGCCCCCCAGGCCCCTGCGCACCCTGCTCTTGGCCACTGGCGGCGCGGGGGGCTCGTGGCCGTGCTGCTTCCTGCCGTTCGGTGCCGTGGCCGCGCTGGCTGGTGCAGCCGCCATGGCCATCACCTTCTCGCTGCGGGGACCCCGCCTGGACCTGGCCCAGGGCTCGTCGCTGGCCGTGCTCAGTGCGGGCCCCGGGCTCCTGACCGCTGCCTTCCTGTGCTGGCGCGCTTGGCAGCGGCGAAGGACCAGGCGCGGAGAGCCGGGGGCGCCCTGAGTCCTGGGCGAGGCCCCCTCCCATCGAAGTCACCGCGAGCCGGGCGCCTCTCCGACCTCGCCCTGGCCGGGGCGGGGGAGCGCAGTGCCAAGTGCGGTCGCAGAGGCCACCTCCTACACCCCCCGCCCCAAACCGTTACTTCTGGAACCCTTTGGGCAGAGGAGGCCACCGGCCGTTTCTCTCCCTCCTTCTCCCTCCGTCCAACGTCGCATTTCAGCTTTTGGCTTGGCATGCAGAGCTGGCGCGACCGCAGAGCTGGGCGGCGGCGGGACGGGGCCTGAGCGGCTCGGGGACGGCCTGGCGTGAGGGTGCTGGGTGGAGGGCGGCCGGCTGCGGGCTCGGCCACACAACCCGCCGCTGGGAGCCCGCTGTGTCCGCTCCTGGCAGCTGCCTTCGGAGCTCGGTTGTAAGCCCCCGCGGCATAATAGGCACTCAATAAATGTGCAATAGTTGAACATGTGGTGGCTTGCAGGCCTCTGGGTTGGGGGGGAACAGCAGGTTCTGGGCTAGGTGAGGAATTACTGGATCAATGGGCATCTTACAAGAAAGACCCTCGGCTCCTTGACGCCTGGGACTGTCTAGCTCAGGCGTCCCTAAACTACGGCCCATGGGCCGCATGCGGCCCCCTGAGGCCATTCATCCGCCCCCCCCCACCCCCCGCACTTCAGGAAGGAGCGCCTCTTTCACTTGTGGTCAGTGAGAGGAGCACAGTATGTGGCGGCCCTCCAACGGTCTGAGGGACAGTGAACTGGCCCCCTGTGTAAAAAGTCTAGCCCCTCTATGTGCTCTCCCCAGCCTGTGCCTCAAAGCCAGAGCTGCCACTCTCAGGGGGAAGGGTGAGGCGCTGCAGCCTGAGTTGCAGGTGGGGGGAGGGGAGGCGGAGCTTCTTTGTTGGGAAGGTGCCAGGAGGGGCAGGGCCAGTGGAAAAGGGAGAGGTGTGAGGCCCTAGGCAGGGGCTGGGACAGGTGGCTGGGTCCCTAGAGAGCAGTAAGTCCCACTTGGGGGCTGTGAGGACGCCCTCCCTAACTCCCAAACACCGTCTGCGAGGGCTGGGGGCGGGGCCAGAGAACGTGTGCAGAGGTCTGTTCCTAGGGAGAGTCCCTGTGGCCAGCAGCCTCCTCCCTGGGAAGCTGGTGACACACAATGGCCCTCTGGGCCCACAAGGCCTCCCACCGCACTGACCCAGATGAACAACTGCAGCAGGGCTGAGCTCCAGGCACCGACTTTCCGCCAGCCCAGAAGCCACCAGTCATTCTGCAGACCCCAGTCCCGGCTCACAGGGTGGCTGGGCTGGAGACAAAGCCAGCCCCTCTGACGAAGGTGGAAGAGGCTGCTGGTCACTGTCCCTCCTGCAGCCTGGCTGGCGGCCAGTCTGGCAGTGGCTCTGATCTGACCATGGCCCTGATGTCCAGAGACAGCCTGAGTTTCCCCAGAGGCTAGTCTCTGGACAGTGGAACCCCTGTGTCAGGCCTGGGCTTTTCTCTCTACTGTCCCAGAGTGATGATTTCAACCCCACACTCCCCACACGGTTGGTCCCACCATTATGGTGGGGTGGCAGGGGGTGGGGGTTGGGAACCAGAAGAACCTTGAAGAGGGCGGTGGGGAAGTTTTGGGCTCTAAGCTTGACCCACAGAGCAGAGCATGAGCCCTGAGGGAACTTACAAGGTCCCTCACCTTGTAAAGGACACAATTCCCCTTCTCTTCATCAGGAAGCTGAGGGGCAGAGGCTTGTGGCAGAGAGAGCGAGCCCCTCAGTCCTCTCTGCTCAGTGCTCCTGTGGCCCCATCCCTGCGTCTGTGGCTGTCATATGCAGACATGTGGCCTGGAGAAGGTAGGCACCAGCCAGTGTCAATTGTTCCAGGAGCCAAGCCAGGTGCCCCATCACCCTGTCTTCCTGTTCCTCCCCTCCACAGGCAGGCCCTCCTGCTCTCTCCTCTGGTCCTTCAGTTTCCCCCAGGAGGCTTCTGTGTCCTCCTGCCCCCCCTTTCCCAAAAAGTGCGAGGCTTCTGCCTCTCTATCCTCTTTCTGTTGTCCTTGCATATCTCTGGCTGCGTCCAGGGTCCACCCACGTGGCCCCTCCACCATCTGCAGGGCCTGGCCTTCCATGTGAAACAGGGCATGCAGGCCTCGAGGTGGCCCTGCAGGGAACTTGTTCCTGGCCCCTCCCTGGGACCTGGGCCTCCTCTGTCCAGGTCCTAAAAGTAGGAGAGAAGGATATTTCTCTGACCAGAGCTGTCCCTGGACCCTTTGCTGGCGTCACTCCCAGGCACAGCTGCCCCATCCCCCACTAGTCCCCAGGCCACCCAGCTGGGCTTCTGCCTCAGTTTCCCTGTCCAAACTTGCTGCGATGTGGGCCAGTGGGCTCAGGGTTGTGACCAGTCCCTTCCTATGATTAAACCCTACTCTCTGTCCCTGCAGAGGGGTCCTCAACAGCTAACCAAGTCCCTGAACCCCAAGAAGCCACCCCAGCACACCCTCAGCTTCCATGTCCTCCCTCCCAGCTGAACCCATGGCAGAGATGTAACTAGAAACTTACAGACCCAGGGAGCATTGGGATCAGAGTCTGGCCTGTGCAGGGGTTGCTGGCCTCCTGTCATATCCCAACTCAGGCCCAAGGGGGTGCCCTCCTTCCTCAGCACAGGCAGGAGACACTCCAGTCTGTGCAGCTCCTGACTTGGGCCTCATAGATACCACTTCCGGCTCCTCAACTCCAGCAGCTCCAGAGCACGTGCTGAGTAAAAGGCGTCTGGCCGATGAGGAAACAGGAACCCAACCCATGCAGCCAGAAATGGAGCAGTTTGGATTCAAAATCAGACCTGACCCCAATCCTGGGTTCTTTCTACTTGAGTAGATGCTGCTTTGGGGATAACCCTTCAACCGGTGGTTACCTGGTTACCCTACCCAGGGAGCATGCAGAGTCTCTGCTGTCAGACCCAGGGCCTTGCCTGCCTAATGGGCTTCAGGGAGGAGGTGGCCCAGACCCCCGCCCAGCACGTGGCACAGCCCCAGGAGCAGTCAAGGCCTGGCTGTGGGCCCAGGACCCTGCTGGGTGGTCCCCCACGGGCTGCGAAGGCTGAGCCGCCCCCCTCCAGGCCCCTCCCGCCAGCGCATTCCTGGCTCCCCGGCCCCTCCCCTGGCTCCCGGGCCTCCCAGCCCCCTTCCCCGCTGGCCCAGCCCGCGTCTGAATCTGCTTCTGATTCCAGCTCCGCCGATGAGGCCCCCTCCCCTTCCCTCCCTGCTTCCCGACCCGAGCAGCCCCGCCCCCGGCTGGGCCCGGGCTTGCGCCTGCTGCGCCCCCCACCCCCTCCTGGCACAGCTCTTTCGCCCTAGCTGCAGCCGGGAGGAGGCGTCGGCCAGTGCACCGCAGGCCCCGCCCGTCCACGGCCCTTCCCGGGAGGCCGGGAGACCCACTCCTCCCGGCCCTCGGTGGGTGAGTGCGACCGGCGGGCGGCGGGTGGGGCCTCCGCGGGCGGAGGCACGGGGAGCGGGGACGACGCCTGTCATCGGTCCAGGCCCAGCGGGAGGACGCGCCAACATCTCCGCTGCTGCGCAGGGCCCGGGACGTGCCCGCCGCGGCTCCCACCTCTGGGTCGGGCTGGGGCCGCCTGGGGGCTCTGTTCCTCGGCACTGCGGGGCCTGGCGGGCAGAGCCGCGGAGGGGGCTCCTTCTCCCCGAGGGCAGCGTCTTGGGGCCCGGCCGCTGGCTGACCCGCGGCGGCTCCGGCCATGCCCGGCTGGCCCTGGGAGCTGCTGCTAACGGCAGGTACGCTCTCCGCCGCCCTGAGCCCGGGACCGCCGGCGCCCGCCGACCCCTGCCACGATGAGGGGGGCGCTCCCCGGGGCTGCGTGCCAGGCCTGGTGAACGCCGCCTTGGGCCGCGAGGTGCTGGCGTCCAGCACGTGCGGGCGGCCGGCCACTCGGGCCTGCGACGCCTCCGACCCGCGACGGGCACACCCCCCCGCCCTCCTGACTTCCGCAGGGGGCACGGCCAGCCCTCTGTGCTGGCGTTCAGAGTCGCTGCCTCGGGCACCTCTCAACGTGACTCTCACGGTGCCACTCGGCAAGGCCTTCGAGCTGGTCTTCGTGAGCCTGCGCTTCTGCTCAGCTCCCCCAGCCTCCGTGGCCCTGCTCAAGTCGCAGGACCATGGCCGCAGCTGGGTCCCGCTGGGCTTCTTCTCCTCCCACTGTGGCCTGGACTATGGCCGCCTGCCTGCCCCTGCTATTGGCCCAGCTGGTCCAGGGCCTGAGGCCCTGTGCTTCCCGGCACCCCAGGCCCAGTCTGATGGCAGCGGCCTTCTGGCCTTCAGCGTGCAGGACAGCAGCCCACCAGGCCTGGACCTAGACAGCAGCCCAGTGCTCCAAGACTGGGTGACCGCCACCGACATCCGCATAGTACTCACAAGGCCTAGTGCGGCGGGCAACCCCAGGGACTCGGAGGCCCTCTCTTACTCCTATGCAGCCACCGACCTCCAGGTGGGCGGGCGCTGCAAGTGCAATGGACATGCCTCACGGTGCCTGCTGGACGCGCAGGGCCACCTGATCTGCGACTGTCGGCACGGCACTGAGGGCCCCGACTGCGGCCGCTGCAAGCCCTTCTACTGCGACAGGCCATGGCAGCGGGCCACGGCCCGGGAACCCCACGCCTGCCTCGGTGAGGCCTTGGAGGGTGGCCTGGGAACCTTGGACCCAGCCAGCCTGCCCCTGACCCATCCCTCCCTGCAGCTTGCTCCTGCAACGGCCACGCCCGCCGCTGCCGCTTCAACATGGAGCTGTACCGACTGTCTGGCCGCCGCAGCGGGGGTGTCTGCCTCAACTGCCGGCACAACACTGCCGGCCGCCACTGCCACTACTGCCGGGAGGGCTTCTATAGAGACCCTGGCCGCGCCCTGAGTGACCGTCGGGTTTGCAGGGGTGAGCCCGCCACCGGCCACCTGCAGGCCCTCACCCTCTGACTTCCCAGATACCCAGACAGGCTTCTGACCAGGCCCTTCCCACCTCTGTCCTCAGCCTGCGACTGTCACCCCGTTGGTGCTGCTGGCAAGACCTGCAACCAGACCACAGGCCAGTGTCCCTGCAAGGACGGCGTCACCGGCCTCACCTGCAATCGCTGCGCCCCTGGCTTCCAGCAGAGCCGCTCCCCAGTGGCGCCCTGTGTTAGTGAGTGTGCCTGCCCTGCCTCAGCCACCAAGCCAGAGTCACCCCAGCTCCCTGCTGTTGTCCGCAGTTTGTTCCTGGAGCTCTGCAGATCTCTCTGCCCCTCCATCGCAGGCCATTCTCCCTCCTTCTCCGCAGAGACCCCTATCCCTGGACCCACTGAGGACAGCAGTCCTGCGCAGCCGCAGGGTGAGTGGACATGGGACAAGGCCCCAGACTGGCATGACTCTAGGGGAGGGGGCTCTGGGTTCCGGGACAGGAGGGTGGGGAAAGGGGGGATGGGAGTCTGTCCCAGCCTCCCACCCTCTGCCCAGACTGTGACTCGCACTGCAAACCTGCCCGTGGCAGCTACCGCATCAGCCTGAAGAAGTTCTGCAGGAAGGACTACGGTAGGCACCGTCAGGCCTCCCGCGGACCTTCCCACCTTCCTCCTCTCCCCGCCTCCCCTCCTCGACCAACATCCCCTTGGAACACCTTGACCGTTGCTGGGCCCCAAGGCCCATCCCCATCCCTCAGGTCCCCGCCGGGCGGCGGTCCGGCCCCTTGAGCCCCCACTGTCCTCCCAACGTCCTCCCCACCCACTCCGCGCGGGCCGCCCCGTCCTGACACCGCCCGCTCTCGCTCTTCCCGCAGCTGTGCAGGTGGCGGTGGGCGCGCGCGGCGAGGCGCGCGGCGCGTGGACGCGCTTCCCAGTGGCCGTGCTAGCCGTGTTCCGGAGCGGAGAGGAGCGCGCGCGGCGCGGGAGCAGCGCGTTGTGGGTGCCCGCAGGGGGACGCGGCCTGCGGCTGTCCGCGCCTCCTCCCCGGCCGCCGCTACCTGCTGCTGGGGGGCGGGCCCGGAGCCGCGGCCGGGGGCGCAGGGGGCCGGGGTCCCGGGCTCAGCGCCGCCCGCGGAAGCCTAGTGCTTCCCTGGAGGGACGCGTGGACGCGGCGCCTGCGGAGGCTGCAGCGGCGCGAGCGGCGGGGGCGCTGCGGCACAGCCTGAGCCGGCGGGCGGGGCGCTGCCCGGGGCGCTGCCCCACATCCAGGAGCACGTTCACCCTGTGCCTTCGCCTGCCGAGGATTCCTTGCTCGCGTCGTGTTCGTCGCCACCTGGGCCACCGCCCCGCCCCTCCGGCAGCTCCCACGATACCTCCCGTCTGGCCCCGGGGGGATGTGACCGGCGCAGCGACAGCCCGCCCCGCACCGAAGCGGGTGATACCGCGCCGTGGTCTCCCCTCACCCCCCACCCGGCTGTCGGCCCTGTACCAGGGGCACTGTGATACCCGGAAGGCTGTGAACCCGTCGTAATACCGGGCCCTCTAAGGGGTCTCAGATCATCCCCCGGGCCTCGGTGATGCACCCCGACCCGGGCGGCGACCCGCCAGGGAGCGCGCTAACCTCCCCAAAGACTGTGGCCACCTCAGGCGCCTTGAAGCCCCCTTGCGGGGACAGGGCGTCTCCTGCCTGCTGCAGCCCCGCGAGGGCGGCGGCCTCGGCCCCTGCAGGCGGACGTCTGCCGCCCAGTCTCGCATCTTTCCTGACCGGCTGTGTCCCCATCTGCGGGCTCCGCCCGGCCGTCCCTCTCTCTGCCGCGTCTCCCCCGCTCAGGGCCTGTCCCAGGACCCCCTTCCAGCCCTTCTCCCCCGGCTCGGGGCTGGACGTCGCGCCCACGCGGTTCCAGATCCACGCGTGACCCGGCCGGGCGGAGACTCCGACAGGTGGCTGTCCGGGCCCCCGATGCCCGCGGCGGGGTCCTGCCACCCTCCCGCCCCCCTTGGCTCGCCCCCTGGGACCACACTGCAGCTGCCGCCCCTCTGCACCGGACTGGTCCCCGGCCGGCGCCCGCTTCCGCCGCAGCTGCCGCCAGCCGCCGGCGCGCATGCCCAGAGCCCGGCTGGCCCGAGACCCGCCGGCGCTCCGGGGTGGGCACTGCGCGCGAACTTGGCGGGGGCGGGGCCGCGCGCGCGCGTGCGCAGAGAGCCGGGCCGCGGCGAGCTGAGGAGACAGCGGCGCGCGGAGGTGGGTGCGCTCGGGGCGCGCGGGGGGCGCGCGGCGGGGTGGCCCGGCCGGGCCGGGTCACCGCGGCCGACGCGTGCTGGGGGCAGGAGCGTGGGGGCTGGGCTGCGGGCCCCGTCCGAGGCGGGGATCCCCAGCCAGGCGGGGTCGGGGGCTCCGGAGCCCGGCACTGCCGGGCGCTGCAGCTGCGTCCTCGGGGCGGGGAGGGGGGGGGCGCAGGAGCGGGACCCCCTGGGTGCGATGCCCGAACCCCGCCCGGTTACTGTCGCCAGCGTCCCGGCCCAGGGCAGGGTGTCGTTGGCAAGAGCCGGCTCTGTGTCAGTCTTTCCTTGGGGCGCTTTCCGTCTCCGCAGGGTCGGAAATCCTCTTCGGGGTGGGTGAGATTGCCACAGATTCTGATAAGACCCGCCTTGCGGGCCTGCAGCGGCCCTGGGCCCCGCCCCACCCCGGATGACACACCCCCACCGCCCACCCTGCTGGGGGTCCTCCAGTTCCAGGCCGGTCCAGCGGTGTCCCCCGCTGGGTGCGCCGAGCCCAGGGAGGTGGAAGCCGGGGACCCCCAGCCCTGAGCCAGCACAGCAGAGGGGAGAGCCGGCCCCACCCGCGCGGGGCTGCATCTGCTCCCGCCCCCTCCAGGTGGGGGTCCCCGCGGCCTGGCCACAGGCTTTCTTTGGTGTCCCGGTGGGGAAACTGGCCAGGCTCGGAAACCTGCTGTGGGCCTCCCGGGTTACTGCTTGCGGGGTGACGTGAAAGGCCAAAGGTTGTCTAAAAGCCACCTGGTTTGTGTGGAGATGCAGGTGCACTGTTAGGTTGGTTGCAGGTTGGTTAGGTCGTGAAGCCAGTGTCACTGTGTTTCCCTAGCAGCTTATTCCAGAAAGGGGGTGTCGGCTGATGGAAGCACTCGCAGGTGATTTTTCCCTGTTTTGCTGTTTACTCTGGAGTCAGCAGGTGACTTCCAGGCAATGTGCAGAAGGAACCGTCCCATTATTTGGCACCTGTGTGCTGTTTCCTCCACCCGAGGGCTTGGGCTCTGTCTTCACGTTCTGTCCTCAGCACACTGTAGGCACCGGTGGATGACGTGTGTGGCCTTTCCTCTGCCTAAGGGCCAGGGCTCCGTCCACAGCACATAGTAGGCACCTGTGGATGTTTGCTTAGTTGTGGTGAAGACACACAGTCAGGTTCTTTCATTTTAAGGAACACAGACTGAGCAAAACCAATCCAGATAAGAAAAGATCAAGAAATCATATGAAGATTTTACAGTTACTGTTCCTAGCCCGTGGCATGACCCCTGCGTGCACTTCCTTTTGTTCTGAGGGTTGATCCTCATCTAATCTGAGCACTCCGATAAAGGCTTTACATGGAGTACTTACTGGGGAGTGTATGCTCTACTTAGAAGCCTGTCTTTCCCTGTCAACAGGGCTGGAGCCACACTGTTCATCTCTGCTTCCCCCAAGCCTGGCCACGGGGGTGGGGGGGCAGAGGTTCTCTCTACAGAATGGTTGAAATGGATCAAGGTCCTTTGTCGGAATGATAACTATTGCAGTTGCTTTCCACTGGGTTGAGGGTGACCTTCTGGGGATACAGAAGTAATCTAGGCAGGGTTTTCAAAACAACAATAATTTGGCCACCCAGGGTCTGTAAAGTCACCTGTGGGGTAGCCTTGCTAGCTCTCACTGACCATACCTGCCAGGGCTGTCCAGCAGGCTCGAGTGACCTTGGGCATGCTGTGTTGCTCTTAATTAACTACAGATTGAGCCAAGCTCAAAAAACATATTAAATGTTTGCCTTTAGATGGTTTCTGGTTTAAAGTACATGAGGACGATGAAGCAGATTATAAAAAAAAAGCACTTAACATTTACCCTGTTCAATGTTTTACCTGTCTGAGCATACCTTTTCTGTTATGACAACTCTGTAAGTAGAAGAAAGAAGTCCTTTGCAACTCAAAGCAGCAATTTCAATGGCTGTTTCAAACATTGCCTTTCAATTGGAGATAATATCAGAGAAACAAAACCTCAGGCTTTTTACTGAGGACCAACTCGAATTCATTATTTGACGATTTTCTGTATCCTTTCAACATGGATTTATTAAGCCAGGAGCAGTTGTTCATGCCTGTAATCTGAGGGAAGTTTGGGAAGCTGAGGCAGGAGGATCACATGAGCCCAGGAGTTCGAGACCACCCTGGGGAATATAGAGAGGGCTTGTCTCTATAAAAAATTTGTCTAGTGGCATGCACCTGTGGTCCCAGCTACTCGGGAAGCTCAAGACAGCAGTGGGCTGTGATCGTGACAGGGCAACATAGCGAGACCCTGCCTCTGAAAACCAAAACAACAAAAGTTGCATTTATAGAATTCATTCTTCATAGGAGGCACCATGCTGTGCGTTCTGTGGATTCAGCGTTGAGTAAGAGTTGGTCTCGGCCCTTGAACTTATATTGCAGTGAGGAGAGAGGAGAATCAACGCAAGGTAGAACCTCCCACAGAGGTGGACAGAGCCTTCAGTGGGTGCAGAGGCCTGTCATCCAGCTGGATTATGGTGGGGGTGGGGCTCTGAAATGGGCTTGAGCTTCATTTTGAAGGATGATCAGGGGTGGGAAGAACAAGTGAGGGAAAGCACCTTCCCACAAAGGGACAGTGTATGTAAAGTAATGGGCATGGTTCCTGCCCACCAAGTCTTGGGAGAAGGGCAATGGTGGGCCCAGGTGAATGGGGTGAAGTGAGTGAGCTAGGCTGACCGCAGGCTGGGAAAAGCCTTGAGTGGCAGCCTGGAAGTATGAATTTCACTCTGAGTGCCATGAAGCCTCTGAAGATCTTGGGTTTGTGAGTGACTGGATCAGAGGTGGCCAGGGAGGTGAAGGGCTGCATAGAGGCCAAGGCCAGTTGAGGGACTGTCATAGCACACCCAGAGAGATGTCAGCACAGAAAAGAGAAAGACTCAGCTGGGCACAGGGTTCACACCCGAAAGCCCACACTCTGGGAGGCTGAAGCGGGAGGATTGCCTGAGCCCAGGAGTTGCATGCTCAGTGAACTGTGTTTGTGCCACTGCACTCCAGCTTGGACAATTCTGTGTCAGAAGGAAAAAGAGAGCAACACTCTGGGACAAGTGGCTGCGGGATGGGAAGAGCCAGGGAGGAAGGAGGGGATATTCCAGGATTGAGCGGCTGGCGGTGCCACACCCCGTGCAGCGTGAAGGGAGGGAGCGGGCTGGCACCGTGTGCAGATGCCGATGAGGTTACTGTGAGACATCTGGGCAGTGAGCACTTGTGTTCTGGCCTGTAGCCAAGGAGAGTTACCAGGCTAGAGAGCATTTTGGGGATGCTATGTGGCATCTAAGCTGGCAGTTGGGCTGGGTCTTCCCAGGAGAATGTTTAGAGTGAGAAAAACAAGACAGAACCCTGAACCCTGTAGGCTCCTAAGAAATTCCGAAAACAGAGTCATTAAGGTAACAGAAGGTCAGTCAGTAACCCATTGCCTTTCAGAGGAATGGGGGAGGGTAGTGGGCTTTTAATTTTATTTCTTTCTTTTTTTGTTTTTTGTTTTTGAGACAGGGTCTTTCAAGTAGCTGGGACTACAGACTTTTTTTTTTTTTTTTTTTTGAGACGGAGTTCGCTCTTGTTACCCAGGCTGGAGTGCAATGGCGTGATCTCGGCTCACCTCCACCTCCGCCTCCTGGGTTCAGGCAATTCTCCTGCCTCAGCCTCCTGAGTAGCTGGGATTACAGGCACGCACCACCATGCCCAGCTAATTTTTTGTATTTTTTTTTTTTAGTAGAGACGGGGTTTCACCATGTTGACCAGGATGGTCTCGATCTCTTGACCTCGTGATCCACCCGCCTTGGCCTCCCAAAGTGCTGGGATTACAGGCTTGAGCCACCGCGCCCGGCCGACTTTTTTCCTTTCTTTTCTTTTCTTTTTTTTTTGAGACAGGGTCTCCCTCCCATTGCCCAGGCTGAAGTACAGTGGTGGGATCATGAAATCATGGCTCACTGCAGCCTCGACTTCTTGGACTCAAGCAATCCTCCCACCTTAGCCTTTTGAGTAGCTGGGACTACACGCGCACACCACCACGCCCAGCATTTTTTGTAGAGACAGGGTCTCACTTTGTCGGCCAGGCTGGTTCAAATTTCTAGGCTCAAGCAATTCTCCTGCTTTGGCCTCTCAAAGGCTGGGATTATAGGTGTGAGCCACAGTGCCCAGCCTGGGCTTTTAATTTCTGTCACCGACACCCAGTGTGTCCCCTAGAGTGAAGGATGGAATGTGGGACGTGAGGATGCCAGTGTCCTTGCGGTGGCCTTCCTGTCTCACGTGTCTGTTCACCTTTTGGGGAACCTCCAGGTTGAGTGTCACTCTTCTCAAAGGACCCGGTTCACCTGCAGTTGGAGGGTTGGTCTTCTCAGAGCGTTCTCACGGGTATGGCTCTGGAAAAGGCCTTCTCAGACCCAGACACTGAAGGCTGCAGAGCCCTTGGGGGCACCTCCTTCTCCTTCCAGGACCCTGTTTCTATGTGGTCCATCAGCACTGGCCACAGGCATGACTTTGGAAAACAATTTACTAAGGATAGAGGCCAGGCGTGTGGTGTGCCTCCCGCAGTCCTCCCAGGGGCCAAATGGGTGAGGCTGGGGACAGGCTGTGCCCCCAAAGCAGCCTCTGTCTGCCCGCAGCTGGCACATGAGCCTCTGGATAAGGTTGTGAGCTGTTATCTACACCCTCCAACAGAACCTTCTCACAGCGGCACGGGCTGTAGCCGAGGACGTGCGTGTACAGCCATGGCTTCCTGCCCCTCCCCCGTGTGGGCTCTTCTTTTTCTCTTTTTGTTAATTGTTTTTGTTTTGGTTTGGTTTGGTTTTTGAGACAGAATTTTGCTCTGTTGCCCAGGCTGGAGTGCAGTGGGGCAGTCTAGGCTCACCGCAACCTCCGCCTCCCAGGTTCAAGGGATTCTCCTGCCTCAGCCTCCCGAGTAGCTGGGATTACAGGCATGCACCACCACACCCAGTTAATTTTGTATTTT